GTCTTTGTATGGTGGCAACGGCAGTCCCGAAAAGGCCAGCGAGGTCGATGCTTTCATCCAGAATGTCACATTTTTCTCTGTCCAAAAGCCCCGACAAGTTCAGCCATCTTGCCCTCTCCTGCAGGATGATGATGCTGAGAGCTCTGCCCGCCGCTTGTACTGCTGCTCTAGTGAGGTGGAGACACTGGTCCGTAACGATGCCCAGCTCTTCCCACAGCTCGCTAGCATCGGGCTTCGCAACAGCCTGGTCCTGGAGCTCCGTCGAGTAGGCTAGCAGGAGCGATGAGGCGTTCAATGCCCTCACAGTGGTGGCAACTGATTTATACGCTTTGTCAGCCAGGGAGGACTGCAGGCGTTTGGCCTTGAAGGGCAGGGACGGACCAGATGACATGGAAAGTTTCTGGTTTGGGTGGAGATGAGAAGTCACTAGATTCTCCACTGTGAGGATTTGGTAGATGCCCTTCTCCTTCATTCCAGCGCAGTCATATGCCGCCGCTCCCTGCACGGGGTTGGGTGACGAAAATGGCTTTGCCCAGCAGCGTGTGACCTCGTCCACGCATTCGGGGAAAAGCGGCAGTACCTGCTTAGTAGTGCGCTTTGCTCTGGGGAGCCCTTTACCCTCGTATCGTGAGGTGGAGGTCTCCGTTGTCACGTTGGGCCATGGGACTGCCAGCTTTTCAGCTGCCCGTTTTGCAACATCAAATAGCTCCATGACGCGGGACTGTGAGCCGGGGTTATCACAATCGATCCCTTGAGTCGCAGAATTCCGACCAGAGGGGGCAAAGAAAACGTCGTCATCCTCACCCGAGACGAGATGTTCCAACGGTCCCTCAGAGGATTTGCTGAGTAGCTCGTCATTAGCCTCAAGGGAATCAGACAACATAGCTTCGCAGCTGACCTCGGCATCGTCCACCAGCGGGAGGATGATATCCATCTCGTCGCCCCAGCTGGCGCCTGCTGTGGCTGACTCAGTGTGCTCCATCAGTGCGCCAATTGGAGACAGCATTGGGTCCTTCTTCGACAGGCTAGCCTGGCAGGCTAGAATTGACGAAGGCTTTTCAGAGTAAAGCGAGCACAGTGTTCACATGAACCCGGTGTGGAAATAGCTGCTTGGGCGTGTTGCAGCCCGGGGCACATCACAGAAGCGTCATGTGTATCTGAGCCTGAGATTTTGCAACCGCAGGGGAAAATTCTGAAGAAGCGAGAAGAGGAAATTGAATGACGGGTGACGCTGTGTCACACCCTTTTACCCGGTCTTTAAGTCTGACGTCATTAGCCGTGCCTGGGCCCAAACTCCGCTGCAGGTCCCTAAGTCAAATGATCACTCCAGCATTACTGAGAGTTGAAAAACTGTCTAAATTCATTCATCTGTAATAAAATGATTAGTATGGATACTCTACCAGGTGTAACAATTAAGTTTAACATCCAGTCATCCATGAAAACAGAATTTATTAAATTTAACGGAGTTAGAGGTTAGCAGGAAGTTAGCTCACTAGTTTCCATCTAAATATAACATACCATGTTCTGACTGAGGGATTTCTGAAACAAATTAAGATGTACAGCTCTGCTATCACTTACAACATAAATGAAGACAGGAAAGTAAACAGCAGTGATGTTTGTAGGGTTACCAAAGTTTGGCTAGCTGGTATATAATGATGTGCTGCGTGATCGCTAGCGACACAGCTATGTTAGCATAATATAAACAGTGAAGCTGGAGGATGTTATTGTTACTCATTAACAGACAGGGCAGCATAGCTGGTGACTTTTTTCCATTCGATAAAAGTTAACATGAGGGTTCCTGAAGGTTAGGGGCAAATGCAGTTGCATAGCAGGATCCTGTAAACGGACCAAACTTCAGTCAGGAGAAAAACTGAGATAATCCATCCACAATACAAGGTTAGTCATTAAAATACTACTGCATGGGCTGAGCTGTAGTTACATGTAAAGTTTTAAAAACTGAGCTTTAAAATGATTAGTGGTAATAAAAACCGAGAGAGGCCAACAGTGATCACTGACTGTTTTTAGGGGCTTGTTGAGATTAAATAGAACAAGATACAAAGCATTAAAACATGTTAAAAATACCGCAGCCTTATTAAACGCAGAGTAGTTTGGGCCTGGACGCAGGGTTCATCACGTCATCACTTAAAAGACTGGATAGGGAGGAGGGTGGCCCCTCCCAGACGCAAGCGTCACGACTGCCAGCCAATGCTGGCTGGAGTAATGACATAGAGGCTTCTGAGGGCAACGCTGAGAGAGCGTCGCCCATAGTGAGACACCGAAACGAATGTTTGAAGGAGAACAACCTGATTTTCATAGAATTTCATAGAATTTTCATAGAATTTTCATTGAAGCCAATGGCTACCTGAGAAGAACTGATTTAAAATCAAACGTCATGCTTCGGAAAATGGCCATCAAATAGTTTGGCATCACTTTCTTCTACCTTTGTTGTCTCACCCTTTTCTCTTCTTCTGTACTCTGCTTTTGTCAAAACTCTAGTGAAGCACCTTGTCAGTAGAGTCCTGTTTGCGCGTGCTCTCACGGCCTCTCAGGCTCTTGGCGCTGATACCAGATTCTGACGTCTCCATGATGAGCTGGGTAGCTAGAAACTGTTGGATCTGCTCCAGGACGTCACGCTGCATCTCCAGAGCCATGTGGTACACGTCGTGGTCCAGGCTGTTGTACATGACTGCGTTCTGAAACATCAGCATGATGTCCCTCTGGAACTCGGCGGTGGTCCGTATCAGACCGTTCTCGATGTTCTTCTTTATGGTTGCCAGGTCCATGGGCCTGGAGAACAAGAAGCGAAGACAGTTCTGTCTGAGATGTCTTTCCTCTAAAGCTCCAGTAAAGTGATACAAAAATATTCTTTGCTTACCTGTGCACAATACTGTGGTATCCAGGTGCAATCTCTTCTGTTACTGGCTGAAGGAAGACATTTGCATACCTACAACAGGTTTACACGACGCGTTACAGAAAGATATATCGGAGACTGTGCATTTAGTGTTAAAGATATGAATCAGATTCTGACCTGTGATTGGCTGCTGCTCGCCACACAAGCATAATGGCTTTCTTCCAGATTTTGTGAGCCTGTAGAGCTTCCAGATCCTCACTGCACACAGAACTGCATGTTGAAGGTCAAAAAAGGAAGTTGTATGAATGCAGAAACTAATCTGCTGCAAACTCAGTATTCTTACATCATCAGCACCATCTAGAGCAGGCGTCTCAAACTCGTCACCCCTATTTGCAGCCTGTATATTGACTGATGTGTACACTTATGTCTGCATTTTTATTTTGTTAAATACAAACAAAGTTATAGCAGAAGTGTTGCCACGTGTCTGGTCAGAAAGAGAGTACCAATTTGTTTAATTGGTAGTTCAATGAAAGGCTTCAGTGAGAAAAAAAATCATTTGCATTTGCAGTTTTTTCTTGTTATACAATATTTGACATTTTAAAAAACAAACAAAACACCACATTTTCAGAAATATTTGTGGGTGTTTTCTTGTTTGTTTGTTTTGTACTCCTTGAACACTAAAGTGGTCCTCCAATGAGATGATAGTGCCAGCAGTGGCCCACAGCTCATTTAAGTTTGAGACCCCTGATCTAGAGTATAAATGCATTTCACTTACAACTGCGAAGAAGCTGGGCTGCTGGGGATGGAGTCTGCAGTTGTGTGGAGCTGCAGTGAAGAGGAAGCCGTATGGAGGCTGTATCCATCCTCACTCTCACTGGCTGCCGGTTCTAGCTCAGTTTCGCCGTCTGGCTCTGATAGGAATTCTTCCACCCCATCTCCCACTTCTTCTCCACACACCTCTGGCCCATTAACTTTGTTTTGCAGGTTAGTCCCCGAGGCCTTCTCTCCTCCCCCAATAGTTATTGCGTCCTCCCTCTTCGTCTCCTGCAAAAATGTATAAAAGCACAGACAGATTCAGACAAAACTGAAAGTGCCGGGTTACTGTGGAGCACACTGCAAATTTTAGTACAGCAATTACAAGCATCATGCTCGCTTTGTCCTCATACAGTGCTATACCTTTGGATGCCTTCCTGTCAGTGGGTTATCTTCTAATACCGAGTCTGTCAAGATAGTAGAAATGAATAATAAGGTTTGCAAAATGCATAGTCTGACGCAAACTGCATGTTACGTGGCAAGGCAGTACAAATGCTTAAGCATGGATGTTCGTACCTCCGTGGATTTTTTCAGGGATTTGATGTGCCCACTTCTCACGTTCACATTTTCTGGATGACATTTGGGTTTTTGAGTGAACCGCCTCTCCGGTCTCTCTCACTGCTGCAGCCTGTGGAGGCGTTCCACTGCGGTAGTGCTCCAAAATCTTTGAGTCGCATCCAGATGAGGAAGAGGGAGGAATGCTCCTCAGTCCCACAGGAAATCCTGCAAGATGGTTATCTTGACTGTTGCAAAAAGAAGAGAGTGAACCTTCCGTCCTCTCCTCCAAGCTACAGTGAAGAGATGAAGACTGTACAGCCCCAGTGGGCACTGTGGGATTGTGTGGCTCATGAGGCTGGAAAGGCCCAGAATCCCAGGCAGCAGACAGAGCGTGGCCATTTTCTTCACAAAGGGACAGAGCAGCCTCAACTGCAGCTGCATCCAAAGCATCAGCAGCTTCATCAGCCTACAAAAAGAAGCATACAACGAATGCTCATATTGTAAAAAATAAATAAATAAATAAAAATCCAAACAGGTCTCATAAATTATTTAATGTAACCTAAACAGTAAGGTTTGTTGACTTTTAGAACCTTCTCTTCAATGATGGCGATGATGTCCCCCACTGTCTTCAGGTCCAGCTCATGACACAGTGACACAGTCACATCGTCCTCACTGAGCTCTGACACCTTATCTTCTACCATAGAGGAGACAGGCTGGCATCCAGGGGCCACAGATGGCACCATCACATTTACCTCTGCATGAATGCAACAACTGATTTACTATCTGTTTAATATTTCGACACCATGAATCTAAATTCTTATTTGGTATAGCATTATTACATCTTTGCTAGTTTAGAGCAGGTGGCCAAGAACAGATCTGATCAACAGGTCACAATTAAATCCTCTGTATACAATGCAAAGTTTGTGATATTAAGAATGTGAGGGTGTTGGATCAGAAAGTGGACAGACCTGCACTTGCTGAGATGTTTGATTGAGCAGGAACAGGAGTGGTGGCAGAGAGAGGAACACTGGAGGCAGAATCTACACTGACCATAAAACCTAATGGAGGGGAAAACTGGGCGGGGCCTGCTTCCAGGAGACGGGACAACATCGGGGCACCTGTCATGCAAGTATTCACGCATGCATTAACACATGAAGTGCAGAGCTCTGACAAAGCACCTCAGGCTATCAGATGGTCAGAGTATTAGCAAACATTTGCAGCAATGGCATCACCAGATAGCACCCATGCATTCAGAGTTCAAGAGTAAAACTAACAATTATAAAACATGTTCAATGAGCTAAAGATAAGAAGACCTATGGGACACTTTTTCCTGTGTCAAAGGGGGTTCTACTGAATGCTTTTTTTACTGGTATGGTAATCTGTTGCTTTGTGAAACATTTCTGTTTATCGAAATCCAAAAAGTAAGATTTGCTTTTGTAACAAGACATTTTAACAGAGATCAACAGTGATCAAACACAGCATCTGTACCTGCTGCCTGAGAGAGAGGCTGACAAGGTGGAGCCAGCTGCAAGTCATGTGCTCCTGACACATTACCTGTGGACACGTCACCATCTCCAATCTGAGATAAAGATGCATACACAAATCAAACACGTCTAAAACATGAAGCAGTGCTCTTTAATAATAAATCTGTTACTCATTAACAGGCAGGGCAGCATAGCTGGTGTTTTTTTTATCCTATCAGTGGTGTCTGATCAATACTGGATTTTAAGGCCAGTGCCAATAAAGAGAGAAGGCAAAATGGTTTCTTCTTCAAGTCCAGGATATGTGAAGTGAATTTTATATATACAGTAATTTTAAACAACGGGCCGCGAGAGTTGAGGCTCAGGTGTAAAATGTATAGTTTTCAGGGTTTTTAATCGGTTTTCAGCGTTATTTTGTTATCTTTTTTATCGTTTACTCGGTTTTTCTTGGTCTTTTCACATGTGTTATGAATAAATTTTCTTTTTGTCGGTACCGGTACTAGTTTTATTTTGTTGTATTTATCCGCGACACCTTAAAGGCCGGTCCATGAAAATATTGTCGGGGATAAACCGGTCCGTGGCGCAAAAAAGGTTGGAGACCGCTGCTCTAAAGCACAGGAATTCTTTACGTGATCATATAAAGGTAGACTGCCCTGCAGTGTTGTACAAGTTAATTACTGGCATATACATTAAAGCCCTTCAACAAACCAATCTGGAATTTGTGGCCAATATACTGCCTTTCTTCAGTAACTCTGACAGGAGGGGAGATGGTGGTGGCGTGGCTTTCTGACACAGTAACTTCTTTTGGGTGGGGTCCTCTAGCAGGGACCCGTGGCTGTCATCATTACCAGAAGGCTCAGCAAATGTCATTAGCCTGGCTGTTCCAGAAGCCTAGAGACAGACAGAGGGAAACATGACATTTTATTAGGATTTACAGATGCAGTTGTTATCAGTTCTCTAATATGTTTTCTTTTTTGTCTCTGAAGGGAACGGTCAAAAGTATTAGACTCATTCCCAAAATAAAAACAGTCATTTTCTATGCCTTACATCCCATATAGCACTCCTGGTAAGTTACACCTAAAATTATTTTTTTTAGGTACTATGAGCCCGAATTTACCAAATCTAAATTAGTGGCACACAAGAAACACATTACATTACATCTACTAGGTATATACTGGACATATAATGAAGGACATTATATCTGCTGAGTGTTGTGGTGAAATAGATAGTTTAAATTTGTGACTATTTAGCGATTTTTCTTAATAGCACACTTTGTCACACTTTGTTTAAAAGGGATTTTAAAATTCTAGTATGATGATAAAATAGATGGAATGTTTTGTAAATTAGCCAATTAAGTCACAATGACAAATCAAATGTCAATTAGGTGGTTAATGAGGAGAAATCGGTCCGTGGGGGAAAAAGACGCATTTAGCAAGTTTGCAAAGTGTTAACTGGCAGGAGCTAACCTGGTGCTACAGTCGTGATTACTCTAGAAGACCTGGATGCTAAAACTACATCTACATTGGAAATGATTTGCTCCTCTTGCATCATTTTGAAGCTGACAGCTGGACGCCTGCAGACATTCCTAGATCCGGCTGCCTAGGTAACCCTCTAATCTACAGATATCGACAGGATTATTAGCCCACCAATGAAAATATATTAGTATTAGTAAATAAGTATTTCCCAATTGCTGTTACACCTGGAAAAGAGTTTTTAGGACTTTTTAAGAATAAAACACCCACGTTTTATTACATTACTTTACTTTAACACAGAAACAAAATGATTTCATAAAAACAGAAACTACCAGGGTTAAAATTATTAGCTCCCCTGATGCTAACGGTCAATTGTGTATCCTTTTTGCTAGATAACAGCCTGCAGTCAACTGTTGTAGTTTTCAGCTAGTCTCGCATGCGTCTCCTGAGCAATCTCAGCTCAATTTTCTTTGGTGAATCTCTCAAGATCCTTCAGATTTGATGCTCTCCAGGCATGGACCTTGGTCTTCAGTTCACCCCACAGATTTCCAATAGGATTCAAGACAGGGCTTCGACATGCCAGTTGTTCAGCATGTTCGCTTTGGTCTTCTGGAGGTAGTTCTTCAGAAGAATTGTTTTAGGTTGTGTTGGAAAGCAAAGCAACGATCCAGACTCGGTTTTGTTGCTGGAGGTTTTCTTTCATAATCTTCACATATCCTTCTTCCTTCATGATTCCTTCCACCTTGACAAGATTTTCAGCTCCAGATGCACTGAAGTCTCCTCACAGATGGTGTTCTTTGGCTTGTATGCTTCTCCCTTCTTTTTTCAAACATAAGCAACATCTCTGTGGCCAAAGAGCTCTACTTTCATCTCATCTGACCAAAGAAACGGGTTCTCCAGGTTGCCCTTAGCATACTTCAGTCTGGCCTGAAGGTGTCTCTTTTGCAGAAGTTTTCTTAGTCTGCAGCCTCACAGTCCATTCCTATGCAGCGTTCTGGTGGTCGTCTTCTTTGAGACTACAATTTCCAACTTCCAAACTTTTTGCAGTTGTTCTAAGGTCTTTAGACACGTCACTGACTAATTTTCTTTCCCTAGTCTTTGAAATCTTTCGCTTCTACCTCTGCTAGGCTTGTTCGGTACTGTGTTGCTCTATTTGAATTTCTTGATGATCCCTCTCATTTCAGTTCTCGACACTTGGAAAGGCTGTGATAACTTTGTATATACATCTGCTTTGAAAGCAACAACAATTCTTTTTCCCAAGTCTAAACTGTTTTGGGTTTTTTTTGGCATGATGTTCTCTCCAGTAACAGCTCAAACCCTTGCTGAAGTTTTTATAGTGTGTGTTAATTAGAAGATAACGCTCAGTTTTAACTTCATTTTACAAACCTTTAGCACAAATCTGAAGCACATCAAAGTCTGTTACGCATCAGTGGTTTGCACTATGGCTCAATATGAAAGTTTAATAATCCTGAATCTGATAACTGTTGTGTTTTCTGAAATAATTTTGTTATTGTTTCTATATCATTGCTTCTATCTAACATTCACACACATTTATACTCCGATGGATGCACTGGAGAGCAACCTGGATCGACCTGAAAATTTTGACTAAAACTTGAAATTTCATTAATGCTGCTATCACAGCTAATTACTGAAGCTTGAAAGAGCTTTTGTAATTTGCATTCTAACTAGCCATGTATTCATTTTGGCTACGCTGTTGGTGCCTGGACTGCAGCTTTGGAACGATTGATTGAGCAGCCGCGCTAGCACTAACAGACAAGGTGCAATGCTAAGCTGATGGCCTCTGACATTTCCTGTTAAGGAAAAAGGTACTTGAATGTGGATTACATTCCTTCTATTAAGCATATTTGACACTTCCTGTCTGTGTCTGCCAAAGGGTCTGTTACTGCTGCAATGTTCAGGATGTTATAAACTAATTAAGGATAACACAAAGACACCTAAACAGCCTGTCACTCAAGCCTATTGAATCTGAGCTCTCTGGAAGCAAACGACTTCAATCAATGGTATTAGAGATTAAGACAGAGCTTCAGTATTTAGCCATGTGTTCATTTTGGTATTTTTGTTAGTGCCCGGTTTTAAGATTTATTTTAGTCTGATGAAAGCTGCAATTTTTACAGACTTTATATGTGGAGAGTGAATTGAAAATAAAATAGAATACTAAAGTTTATTTGTAGTCTACAACCCAATCATGATCAAGTGATAATGCCAGGGGTAAAAATAATTTACCAATTATGTTTTTTCTTATTCCCCCTAAAAGAACATGACAGAAACAGAAAATATTTATAGAATCATTACACCATTATTAAATACTAATAAACACTTTTACATGTCTGAAAACGAGGCAGGATAAGTGAAATGTCAGGCATTGTCATAAGTAACTCTGAGTCTTCAGAGACTTACATTCTTTGTAGATGTAAGATCCAGTGTCAAGCACTCGAGTTGGTCACCTGGGGAGAACTCCTGGCTTGGGGAGCTACAGCCTGAGGGCGAATGCATGGTGACACTGGGTATCCGCTTGGGTGTGTTCTTTGCCACCTGTCTGGCTGAAAGAGGGACGGGCAGCATAGAGAGCCTTTTCTTGTGAGTCATACAAAAGCAAAGCTTTTCTTTTCAAAACAATGCTCTCTACACGGGCTGTCCAATTGGCTCAACCTGAGTATGAAAAATGCTGACATCTCTTTTGACAGGTGATCACCTTGAAATAAAGGATATTTTCTTTGTTTATTCCCATGTTTTCTAGTGCCAACAGCAGTTTAAAGTTTCTGGTCAAACAGTTCCTGCAGAGTGCAGCACTTCTAAAATACCCAATCAAGTCTTGATGAGCTTTCTGTACGACCATTCTTAACCCAGTTTAATTGTCAGACACATCTCAGTTTTTCATATCTTCCTTAAAAGAATCCAGACTTTCTTCTCATTTATAAAAGTTTTCTCGAGCAATATCATCAGTTTAATAAATTTCAAAGTTTTTCTTTGGACATCACCTACTTTTTCTCTCATTTTCAGTACCTGACCAATTTTAGACAACTTTTACTTTGTTTGTTTGTTGACCCACTTAAAACTGACCAATAAATCATGAAAGCCAAATTATCCCCATTTCTTTAGTTTAAAAAACTCCAAATAAAATATACTTTTTTGTCATTTGCCTTTATTTGATAGTGGAGACAGACAGGGCCACAGGTTGGATTCGAAACATAGCCACTGCCTGCTGGCCGGCCGCCTGCTCACCCACGGAGCTAAGCTGGCAACCAGATAATAGTTTGAGGCACAGGCATAAAATTGTACTTTTGAACTAACCAGGGGAGCTGTTATGAAGAATAAAGGTGGTATTTCCAAGTATTGACTTTCAAGCTTGTTAGAAGTGCACAAACCGTATTTTTCCCATGTCTCTGCTGCATGTTTCAATAAATCACTTCACCTTTTTCCCATTTTCTTAGCAAAACATATAGAAATGAGGGTTGGCTCATGACTTTTGCACAGAAGTATATGTAACTTGTATCACAATGTCTGTTATATGAAGAATCTCTTCTGGTAACAGTGGCACTAAGCACAAATATATCTAAGAAGTTACTTTTCATGTATATTACTAGCAGGCTGACTTAGCTACACAAAGTTATCTCAGTTTAATAATCATAATCTCATTGTTTTTTTATTTTCATTATTTATGGATGACCTGTGTAATTACTGAAATATAATTCTTTATGGATGTGTTCCTCAAAAAAGACCCCTGAAATTGAAAGAAATACCTTGATAAGCAGCATCTGTGTTTTTTCTTTTCATCTCTGCTTCTTCCTCCTCCAGTTTCTTCTTCCTAACAGATGCACAACAAAAGATAATTTCCTTTGTTGTTACAAAGAGAGTCCAATGAGTCCAATGTTTAAGGTTTGCAGGAGAAAAAGACGTGCATGACTGTACAAACAGGGTTGATAGATTTGTTGCTTCTTACAGCAGAATTTCCTCCCATAGCTCTTTCAGTTTGGAATCCAGATGTCCTGCTTGAATCAGTTCAGCCTCCCTCTTCAGCTTCCTATGAAAACAGCAGTATGTCAGCTCATCTCACTGACGCAGTTTGAGGTGTGTGTCTTTTTTAGATGAATAATGTGTTCATGCTGGTTACCTGTGCTTCTCCTGCGTTTCTTTTATCAGCTTCTTTAGTTCCTCGATCCTCTCAGCCGTCAGTCTGCGAACTATCACATCCTCCACTGTCTCCACCACCTCACCTTTCTCGCCGCGCTTCCGCCTGAAGGTAACAAAGGCATCAGCTCGTAACGCTGCATATCCTCTAGATGCATTCATCAAACGGGGTAAAGCTACACAAGCATGTTTGAAGTTGAAGTCACTTATGTGCTCACTTTGGGGCCTCTGTCGCTTCCAGGAGCTCTGAGTATTTGGAGGCACAGTGCTGTGAAGATCCAAAAGAGTATCAAGAACAACTTCACTCAAATAGAGTGCGTGAAACCTACTGCAGAGATCATGGATTAAGTTTTTAATGTTGTGAAAGCAGCCCTGCGATAGTCTGACAACCTGTACAGGGTGTTCTCTGCTTTTCACCCTGTGATAAGGTGCTCTGGTCATACCTTTTGAGAGAACCAGTCAGGTGGTCGCCCAGGTTCTGCAAATGGTTTTATGGCACGACTGACCGATACCCTGATGAAAAAAGCATAAGACATCCCAAGATAAATACAGTTCTAAAGATTATTAGACTTAAACAATGTTCTATTTATGCAATGGTTTATTATCTTTATATTTCAGCAACAAAATTATATTAAATCTATTTTTTTTCATTTATAATTACTCTTTTATTTGTTACTTCATGCAAACCTGGTACTAAATTAAAGCCAGCCAGCACCGGGCTGCATCATGTATGCCAGTGTAACAGATAAAGAATGACATGACTAACCATGGTTAAGTCATCCTATTTGTATGTCACTGTGTACTGTAACAGGAAAGCAGACCAGCAACCCTTTTAAATACTCAGGCACAGGAATACTAACAGAACCACCCTAAGTGACAACATCTTATCTTAAAACCTAATCATAAGCGAACGTTAGTTACATGTGTAACTAACAACATCTAATGTGCCAGATTATGACTCACACTATTGAGCACATAATACAGAATCGTTGAAACCAGCTGAAAGAGGCATGCATTACCAGTTCTGGTCCCCACTCTTCATGACAGATGTGGCCAAACACAGCTTCTCCCTCACTGACCATGGTTCTGTTGGTCCAATGACAAGCAGCTTGTGTTCTGCAGACGTGGACGAAACATAACATATACTTTATGCAGTATATTTTTAATACAGACTGTGTTCTGCTGGACGTCTCCGGCCTGGATCTTTTTTCTTCTTCTTTTTTTTTTTACCATTATGATCGAGCTAACCACCAGTACCGGCACTTTAAGCATGCAACTGCACACACAAAGAGAGTGTCTTTGATATAACTGATAGCAAACGGCAGCCACCACCAGTGTAAATAGAGCCGTCAACTCGTGATGACAACCAATAATCCGTGCAGGCTGCCACGCAGGGAGCGAAGAGAAGTTAGAAGCGATAAGATCCAAGTACGACACACACAAACACACACACGCTAACGGGTAGCATGTCATGACATTTGCTATTTTCTAACGTTACTCACTTCCAGCCCCGTTTGCCATCTTCCTGTCATCCCAACATCCCGTACATCTTGGTAGATAGAAACCCGGCGATTAACAACGCTGGCGATATGCGAAGGCGATACTCATAGGCTAACATCAATGGATGTTAGGCTGGATGTGGAGGCTCTCAAGATTTTTCTCACTAGCTAGCACGCTGAATCACCGCTGCTGCCCGTTAGTCTCAGTCTGGTATGCCAAAGCTTTTGGTAATTTAAGGATTAACCAGCTTGCTAGAATGCAAAGACTGCGTCTGTAAAAGAGTCAAAAAACGGTCTAATTACGTTAGAAAGAGTTTATGCTACCAAGCGACAGGCAGCCAGACGAAGAAAATTTTTTAGCTTACTGTAGCCATAAACCTTATTTCTCATTCTAGCTAGCAGCGAAGTGTTCGTACACGCCCACCACAGTAATAATAATGTACCACCCTGCAGGCGGCTGAATTTTCATAATTAAGCAGGATAGCTTGTTTTTTATGTAAAGATGGAACTTAACTTGTGTCAGTAGAAAGATAATTATATGTATAAATGTTAGTCCAGCACTTCTTTTTTCCACATAACTGGGTAAAAGCACTAAGCACAAACAACAAGTTTAGTACACAAGTTGTTTGCCACACAACTAGCTAGGTTCACATGTAGCATGCTGCGCAGATGTGCTACTACTACTAAAAATAATAATATTAAATTCTCTATTATTATTATTTTATTGTCAAATAAAATCTATTTGTTTTGTGTACATTCAATCCTTTCCAAGCATGTTTCCCCATATTATTAATTATTTGAACAAATACATTTTAATTTGATATATCTCAGTTGCATTATACTCAAAATTGCCAAGAATCGTTTTTTGAGTGTGCTTTAATGAACAAACACGCACAGTCAATAAAATAAAATAAAAATAAAGCTTAGCAATAAAAATAATGCTAAGCTATATGATTTCCAAAAAGCTCTCTGAGTTGAAATGTTGAAATTTACGCTCTTTATGCTGTCTCCTATTGAATAAGGACTACATTAACAGCTACACACAGTAGAAAATAATATCAGAACTTGACACTTGTACTAAACCAGTGGTTCCCAAACTTTTTCGCTAGGCCCCCTTTTGTTTTACAAGAAAAATGTTCGCCACCCCCCCTCCCCCGCGCGCACACACGCGCACACACACAAATACATCCTCCAACCACACACACCCATATTTTGCTCCATTGCGGTTTATTTCGCACCTCAAACATTTAGTAAACAATTAAGCAAATACAAGTAAACTGCAATAAATTACAGGTAGTAAGAAAATAAACTACTAACTCTTTTATGCTACGTCCACACCTACACGGGTAATTTTGAAAACACAACTGTTTCTGTGCGTTTGGACCTTTCCTCCACACGTAAACGGAGTTTGGAATCACCGAAAACGGAGATTTTTTAAAACTCCTTTTATGCGTTTATGTGTGGACAGGAATACCGAGGTCGTCACGCAATGTCAAAGGTATGTGCCTTTTTTCACGTCATGCTGTGCGCCACGTTATTGTTTACATGAGATGAATTGCAGAATGGCAGCAAGTCAGATTAACAGTATTTTGTATCTATCTTCAGGTTTTACATGCTTACATACACACACGCAGTTACTGTCCCTCCATTTACAAAGGCAGAGGCGTCATGGTGTAATTATTTTACGTGTATTTGTTTTTTTCCCTGTGTAATAATATTCAACATTTATATCAATACATTTTTCAAAAAATGCCTGTCTGTGCAAAATGGGTTTAAAAACATAAATAGCTGTGGGATACTGTTTGTCCGTGATTTAGACAGGGGGAACAAATCGTGGCAGGATCAGCCTGATATTATTTGTATCCCACTGTAACTTTACTGTATACAGAGCTAACATCTCCAAAATGTCAGGAGTAGTTAGTCATTACAACAAGTGTGTGTGAACTAAAAATCAAGAATGTGGGATACTGTTTGTCCGTGATTTGAACAGCCCAGCACACGCTCCCGACAAAGGGAAAAGCAATTATGCAGGGGAAACCTTGGCACCCTAGGGGACGGGCTCCACACTTTGGGAAGGTCTGTACTAAACAATAATAATAATAAGATCACTATTTTCCCCAAAAATGCCCTAGATATGAGGAAACCAAATACTAGTTCCCCCTAAATAATGAAATCATTGATTACAGTATGAGCTATACTCTATGAGGAATGTTTCCAGCACCCTGTTGAATCTATGCCACAAAGTATGACAGCTTGGAAAGCAAAATGGTGTTCAACTCGGCACTGCCAAGCTGTACCTAAAAAGTATCCAGTCAGTGTATAAACAAGCTTTAAGCACATTTAAAACCACCCCAATCCATAGTTTTTAGATTAAACTTAAAAAAGTGTCCCTCACTTTCCATATTGTTTCCCCAATGTTTATTTTCTGGTTCAACTTTAACCCTCATACAGATACCTTCTCAGTATATTCAAGAGGAATTTGTGGTCAAATCAGAGACTGGCAGTTATCCAGTATTGACTTTCTCTAGTTTTCATAATGGACTTCCCACTGGCTCAACTCCCATGAAGGTAAAATCTGTGCACACTCTTTTTGATTAAGATACGTGCAGATCCTGTGGAGACATTTAGAATTTCTCCTCATTTCTGGTGGACTTACTTTGTCCTCTTTATTCTTGCCATTTAGGTTGTGTTTGGCAGTATACAGCACTTTTAGATGATTTTCACTTAGGTGGGTGAGTTATTCAAAATGATTTACAGATGAGCTGAACCATAACAAGATTAGGAAATTTCATGGAAGTGAAAGAAAACTAAAACAAAAAGGCCTAAGAGCCCCAAATGCAATTAAGATAACTTCTAAATTATAATTAAAATCTGGCTTAAAATATCTGATAGTGTCATCCTATCCACTGTGCTGTAGAGTAGAGAAGTAAAGGGTGCAGTGAGTCATCAGAGCCACACCTGTTGGGATAAACGCCCAACAGACTGTCTACAGACACAGTTTACATGTACACAGGAAAACACTAACAAACCCCAGCTGAACAGAATTGGAACATTTTTTATAATCTTGCATCCAGCCCCCAAGAATCCCTCTAATTCAAGGCTCTCCCAGAGATAAGAGATAAGGCCAGAACCAACCAACCTATGTCAGTTGGTATTGAGACTGTCTGTCTCTAAGAGATATTCTGCCAATCATAATCGGACTTGTCTCACCATACTGCTTTCCAAACACCTATCAGTGTAAACCAAATTCTAACAAAATGAAAAGAAATCTTTGGGAAGAAGAGTTTATCTGGCCCTAAAAACAGGTATGAATTAGCAGAATGTCTCTTAGGTGTCAGAAACAGAAAAACAGAGTCAAATCCTAACCAAATGTAGGACCACAAACTGGCAATTGAACAAGGAAGACACACGAGGTCGTGGCAACCGAAAGATTAGAAGAACACGTGATCACTGTTTGAGAGGTGAGGTTAAAAGTGAGACATTTCCTCCTAAAATGTGAATCATTGAGTGAAGTAAGGAACATTTACTTTAGCTACTTCAGTTCTGTAATTCCAAATTTCTATAAGCTGAACATCTCAGGAGACGGGGCATGTCTGACTGCCTGCCATATATATGTCAACATGCTACAAACGGAGGGATTGTGAATGACCAGCGCCCATGCACACACACACACACACACACGCACACACGCACACACACGCACAATTTTATTAATTTCTATTGTTCCTTTTTCTATTATTGTTATTTAATTAAACCTTTTTCCTGTGAAAATAATAATAAAAACAAGTACACGAGAACAAAAGAAAAATCTATTTGGTTTCCAAATATTTCCAAACCTGAAAATGATGGTTATGAATCTTTTGTAGCCCTTTAAATGCATTACAGATGAATGTGTCACAAATGCAACCAGAGCCACAACTTGAAAAACCGGTTTGTTTTCAGCATGATATGACAAAAAATACATCGTGCGTGACATCCAGGAGGACTGGGTCTCTTTTTATAAATTGGTCTGGCTTAGATATGTTTACAACAGTCACCATCATGAATTCAAGGTACTCATATTTTCTAAATAGGTCATTTCTGGATCTTCTTCTTGCCTTAGTAAAGACTATGTTTTACAGTCTTGTTTCCTAGCCACACTGACCTTAATGAAGGTTACAAAAGAAAATGAGAATGTGTAACAGAACTGTTTATGTGTACAGCACACCGTAAGTCACCATGAGGACCTCTGTGGACAATCAGCAGAGATTACAAGAATCAAGCAGATGTTATGACAACAATTTATATGGAGAAAACAGCAGCTACGCCCAAACTCATTACTGTTTGTATAGTAAATGGCACACTTGCTATGTTTGGTTAGCTGGCAATGCATGCTCTTATTTCTATGTCAAAACACATTATAAACATTAACTCTAGATGAGTTTAAAAACATCTTAGTTGAAGCTGTGTATAGATCTCCTCTCTGGTTTCATTCATCCTATGGTGTAGCATCTATTATGAATGAACAGAATGTCAGAAGAGACACGTTGTTTTGTTGACTGGACAGATGGATCGAGTTTACAAATGTTGTCACTGAATTCATAAGAAGCACAACAGAATCTGTCCATCCATCCATTCTCTTCCGCTTGTCCTTATCGGGGTTGCAGGGGAGGCTGGAGTCTATCCCAGCTGCTGGGTGGGCGGAGGGGGGCATCCAGCCTGATGCAGGGCTAACACAGAGAGACAGACAACTATTTGCACTCACATTCACACCTATGGGCAATTGAGATTCACCAGTGAACCTAACTCTATTTACTGCATGTGTTTAGACTGTGGGAGGAAGCTGGAGTGCCCAGAGAGAACCCACGCAAACAAGAAAGCATGCAAGCTCCACTCAGAAAGGCCACGGCCAGGTGAGGGAGTCAGGACCTTCTTGCTGTGATGCAACATTGCTAACCACTGCTCCACGTTGCTGCCCCGCAAACACTGATTAGCTGCCCAACAGAATCTGATTCTCAGGCTTTTATTTGTTAGTTATTATTCGGAGATTAGCTGCTTTTTAACAAGTTTTCTGTCCAATCCTTAAACTGACCATTTTCAGATAAATAAGTTTTGTTTGCTTGTTAAGCCACTTAACATTGATCTATAAAACAAATATCTAACTCAAGAGATGAACCAGAACTGTGTGTTTGCACATAAAAGACAGAGGAGGGTTAAGTGAACCAGAAGCTCTTTTTGCTATAAAGGCTTATATCGTCCATGAAGCAAGACCAATTACTACAGGGAAACAAATGTTAATGAGGCATTTGACATTTAACTCCATCACACTGCCACTTTGCTCCCTGCTGCTCTGTGGAATAATAGTCAGCTCTACCGGAAAGACTGGCAGCCTTGAAGAGGATCGCTAAAATATGAGAGAAATAACTCTGTTTCTGAGAAAATCCTCCCCTTGACAAAAAGTCTGTCACTGAACATGCAAATTTACCAGAGGTTATATTCAAGTGTTCTTATGTGTGATAGAATTAGACTCTTAAAATATTTATTTGGAGCTTGATTAGTAACTGTTTTCTGTTGCATGGCTTCTTTAAACACAAGCACATGTGAGAATTTCAAATAAAAGTTTATAGAGCCTTATTTTACATATTCTGACTTAATACCTTTCTCATAAACATTATTCTGTCTTAGAACAATCCCAGTCCAACTCATTTTAATGTACTCAGTAATTCCAAGAATTTAAGGTTTGATATTTTGATATTTTATACACAAGCATGTTATGCAAAGTCACGGAAAATAACTGTCTGTTCTGTTGAGGTGTTATGATCAAATACACAACTATTGTTTCAGCCATATTCCATCTTTTTTAAAAGCTACATTTAACTCTCTGTCTTTGGTGTAATCTCAGATGTGTGAGTGATAGAGAGTGTAGAAATGAAGGTCATACCACATGTTGCCTTTAACTGTTGCACTGCTGCACTGAGCCCATCCCATAGGCAGATCCACCGCTAATTATGTGAAGGTTGGAAGCCCAGTGAAGACATCCACTTCGTCTCTGCCATTCATCTCACTTCATTCGGAGCTACAAGTTGCTGTGGCGGAGGAGAAGTGTACTTGCGCTCCAGGAGCCAGTCGTTTGCTGTCGGTCTTTGTTGTGAGTATGTTTGGAACTATGGAGTGACTGCAAATTTTCTTTATCATCATCATCATATTCATCTTTTATACAGATGCACAGAAGCAGCCTATTTCAAATATTTCCACACATGAATTATGTGGCATATCTGCTATGTGCTGCATGAATTATATTAGCACTAGAAATGACTTATAATGAATTTCCTTTTAATTATTTCTAGCAAAGTTTTTTTTTTTTTAAAGGCCTGCTGTTGCTGGCTTTTTATTTACTCGCCTATTATGAGGATCATTAAGATGGTACTCGAATGTGTTTTTTAAACTCAAAAAAACATAACAGCATCTACTTATAAAGAAAAGCTGAGATTTGAAAAACAACTAAATGTGAACTTTATGACAGATATATTGTGCGAGAGCAACATGTTAATATAAGGTGTATTTACAATCTGTGCTAGCGGATGCCGCCCCCTTGGGAGGACTGCGCTACCTCCGCTCCCCTGCCCTTCTCCTTTGAGACCCTCCCTGTTCCTCTTGCAGCTGAGACCCAGGGAGCAGAATTAACAAGCAAATTGAAACAGACTCTAACCAGCACCTCAGATACCTTCAATAATGTCTCACATTGATCATTTGTGACAAATTTTCTTTATATTGCTCTTTATAAGAGCAAACTTGTTTTCTACAACCACATTTCTTTATTGGTAATCTGTACTTTTGTGTCTTGTTTTTAAATTTGCTACATGATGGCTGATCCAAGCGGGAGAGGGCAGGATGTCTAACAACATGGCCAAGATTGCAGATGCTCGAAAAACAGTAGAGCAGTTGAAACTGGAGGTCAACATAGAGAGGATGATGGTGAGTCCACACAGACAGTGACTGGAAACAAAGCAAGGGCACAAATAAGGCAGTGTGAATTGAAAAGTCTTCAGATGAGCAAGTATTCACTTCAGTTATGGCACCACGTGTTCTTCCTTTGTACTTCACTGTGTCTCGGAAACTTTCAATAAAAAGTTACATTTTACATGCTTTTATTTATCAGATGTATTTATACTTTTGACAAAGAACTGCTTATTTGCAGCAACTACAGGTGTGTGAATCTTTATTATTGTAGATATGTGCTCCGGCTTAGAGACCCACAAATGTTCAATCAGGGTTTAGATCTGATGATGCTACTGTCCACTCCTTTTAACAGAATGCCAGCTGACAGCTTCCTTTTAAAAAGTTCTTGCATAGTTTGGAGCTATATGACCTGGTTCAATGATTTCACTCCAGCCTGGCACTGCACGCACCATCAAATCATCACACTTCCTCATATCAAGCACTCTTTCAGCCCCTCGCTCAAATGTTCTTTTTGACTTAAAGACCTTAGACTTCAGATATCACTGTGTATAGCACTTTTCCAATTTGCCTCTGTCCAATATCTGTGTTTTCCTGCTTATTTGTTCTTTCTTACTGTTATTGGCCAGTCTCAGATATCCTGGAGGGACTTCATGAGTGCCATTTAATGAGCCTGCCATCTGAAATCGAGAGACTTTAATCGACTTGTCCTCTTGCTCAGTTATGCAGAGAT